TGTGTGTGTGTGTTGAGTGCTGTCTCCATTCTACTGTGTGCCATAGTGTGGTAGCTGGGTAGTAACACTTTCTTTTCCAATTAATTTGGGAAAATAGAATAACCTGCTCAAATCTGGTTGACTGGGTAGCAGCGCTCTCTTTTCCAAGTAATTTGGGAAAATAGAATAACCTGCTCAAATCTGGTTGACCCCCCCTTGCTATGCTCACCTTTTGGCAAACAGTCCTTCCCCCCCTTTCTTCCCGATACTGCCATTCAGTGCAGCCCTGGCAGATTGCGAACACTCGTAGGTCAGCGCCATAACCTGACAGCGCTGACCAATGAGAAGCACTTCTTAGCAAAGTTAAATACGTTTTTTTGTTATTTTCTGTATCAGAACAAGTAGATTGTCATGAGGGACAAGTAGATTGGGCCCCCACTTTAGTCCTTGGACAAGTAGTTTTTTTTTAAAATTCCACACCCTCGACACTACTCTCTCTTCCTTTTTGGACACACAGGCATTCAGGGAGCCGTGCCGGCCAATGTCGCACTCCATTGGCTCTTCCCACTTTGGGCACTGGGCTGCCAGATGACCCAGTTGGTCGCAGGTCCAGCAACGAATCTCGCGGGGTCCACCTTTCAAGTGGCAAGTTTACTGGAGGGTTAGATGCTGTGGTAGTATGAGTAGCATGCACCCGGGCAGACATCTGCTGACATCTTCGTGTAGGGTTCCCGGACAAACCCTCAGCACAGTTTTATCGCTCTACTGCCATCTCATCTAGAGTCTGGGGTTCTGACTGGGCCACCCAATGGTACAGGCCCTTGGGGAGGCCTGCAAAAAGCGGTCCAGGGCAACGTGCTTCACAAGCTGCTGTGAGAAATTTTTCGACAGTTGTAACCAGTTTTTCAAGTGGTGCACCAGGCCATACAGCTGCGCAAGGGCAGGCTTGGCCTGGTCATAGTTCCAGGCATGGACCCCGCTCGCCCTCAAGGTGAGAGTCATCCCTATTTTGACCAAAATCTTTGCTTTCAAATGGTTGTAAACGCATATTGTTTCAGGGCCAAATCAAAATATGCTTGCCAAGACTCTACAATTAAAAAACGGGGCTAGTACATCTGCCCAATTCACCTCTGGCAGCCCTTTCCCTGTTGGCTATTTGCTCAAAGAGTGAAAGATAAGCTACCACACTGTCCACTGTGGTCATCTTTTGCAGAGAAGCTGCACAGCCTTCCGAGCGTTAATTATTTTTTTTCCAAACTCCTGGACCCTTCCCACTTGCTGCGTCACTGCTTTTCGTAATGCCATTATCTGCTCAGCCAGCAAACAATTGCTCTCCTGTTGTGCCACTGTGGATTGTACTAGGTGCTTAACTAGTTCCTCCATTTCTTTTCCTGCTGTTTGCAAAGCCTGTGCAGATTTCACCCAAGACATCAGACGCATACCTCAAAGAGTCTAAATTCTCCTCAAATTTTGGGGACCCCATGGGGAAAACAGGTGTTTGTAATAGTCCGTTTAAAAAAACAAACAAAAGTTTATATTCTTTCCACAACCAACAAAACAACAGCCTTTCATCAGCAGAAATAGAAAGCAACAGTACCCCAACAATATTGCACAGCCTTATGCATTTTGGTGGCCTCACCTAGACAAGTCCAACTGCTTCTGAGCAGCCACACACAGAGTTTCTCTCCTCTCCTGTAGAAGAAATATCTGCCATCCCAAATTAACCCCTTTTTAGCTCTTACCCGGGTTGACTCACCAATATATATTATATAAGTGTGTGTGTAATATATATATATATATATATATACCCCGTATATACTCGAGTATAAGCCGTCCCGAATATAAGCCGAGGTACCTAATTTTACCACAAAAAACTGGGAAAAAGTATTGACTCGAATATAAGCCGAGGGTGGGAAATGAGGCAGCTACTGGTAAATGTACAAAATGAAGATAGATACCAATAAAATTACATGAATAT